TTTTACTGAAGTATGGCAAAGCATCTTAAAATTATTACTTCATCATTTGTACATTTTGCTTCTTGTTTAACAGTGCCAAACACTGTGGTATGGTGCTAGAAATTTAAGAATAGAAACCCCATACTCTTCTTGTCTAAGACATTTCATTCTGGTGAGAGAGATAGGAAATTAGCAAATAAGCAACATATTTTCATAATTGATAGAAGTTATAAACAAACTAGAATCAGGTAATGCAATTGAGTTGAGAGAAGTTAATGCTAGAACACCTAATGCTGGAGCAATTTCTAAACAAGACTGATGCGTTATCAGAACTACATCCCAAATATAGCCACTCCTGTTCCTCTCCTGGGTGAGATGTTCTCCTGACTTGGAGCTTAGACACATCCTGCTGGCCGACATTCCTGCTACCAATGAGTTTATATCAGGAATCCTTCCTCCACAAGAACCTCTGAATCAGGAGACTAGGATTTCATGAGATCTTTCCCTCTGAATCTGATTCTCCAGATGTGTGTTTTAGGATTCACTGCCACCTGGCATCTCTGAGGTCCTTGGGGAGGTTCAGGTGTAACAGGTGCTTTTCATCCAAAAGCCTTGCATATGTGCATTCTGATTATACAGAACAGTAAATGACAGCAGGGAGCTAGAAGTTCTGTTCAGGAGATCTGCTTCCTTCTGAGGCATGCTTGACTCACTCATTGTGCCCTGGGATGTTTAATCTAGATTTTACCTTTTGAGTGTTCTAATACAACAATCCCAATATTCTGTAATAGGAATGAGAAAATCATACGTTGCTCTGGTATGTAAGCCTTATCCATGTTATATATTTTCTGAATAGATTGCTAATGAAGAATATAGATGTATAATTTGTAATCAACCAGGTTTCCTTGACGTCCTGCCTCATGTTGGGAGACAACCTTGCAAATGGTGATGGATTTGCTCCAACCTATTATGGGAAGGAGAGAGCAAGTTGAAATTGCTCAGTAGTAATGTTTTCTGTTTCAAACCGTGTGTGTGTGTGTGTGCGCGTGTGTGTGTGCGCGCGCGCGCTCACACACGTGTTTTAACATCTAAGTGCTCCTTGTTTCAATGTATAGAAATCACACCTTCAGACTATAAACTACCCCTGCATAGAAGAGTCAACATCTTCTGTTTAGTTAGCAAAGCTAAATGGAGAAAAGTGGAGGGAGAACATCCCTGAGCAGAATTTAGCTGTACACTCAGTTAAAATCTGAAACTCCTATAATAGAAACATAGTACCCATAGGCTGAGGTATTGGTGTTGTGCAAATACTGACAGTGTCTAGGGGGACCTCATTTCTATGTGTCATCTCACAAACCCCTGAGGAATTTTTTGGTTCCAGCCAAGAGGTCTGTCTGGCTCAGGTCCTCTGAGTGTAGTCTCCTTCCCATGTTGCCCTGGAGCAGAGGTTTGCCAGGGGTGGGAGTGGGTGCCTCTGCTGTCACCAGGACAGGTCCCACCTCAGGAAGCACCTCAGCTTTTCATGTGTGTTGTTATGAAAAAGTCAAATCCTCTGGATTTCCCTCCACTCTTTGTTCCAAGCACCTGGGCGACATTCTGTTTATATAAGTATTAATGAATTCATGGGGACTTCCAAAGTCCAAAACCTAGTTATGCCTTTTAGGAAGATTGGTGATGATGGTAATTGACTCACATGTTTCTTCTCTTTACATCAATTAAATGGTGTCTGTAAAAAGATAAACTGTAAGGGAAGATGATCCAAACAAGAAATTTGTAAAACTTTCACTTATGTTAAAAGAGCATTTATAATTTACCTTAATGATAGCCACTCTTCCTTGAGTTTCCACAGCTGGATGACTTGCTAAGTGCTTTAGATGTTTAGTTTTAATGCATATGCTCTCATGTGAATATGTTTGTATGATAATGTACTGCATTCAGTTACTTATATGCATGTAAATATGATATGTATACTTAATTAGTATTTTATTATCAGGATTTTTCTTTTCATTAAAATAAGAACAGCACATATTAACCCAGGACTGTGTTCAAATTCCTGAGATAATGCTTTTTCAAAGTATCTGGCACTTAGGCATTACTGGAAAACAGCTGATTTGACCATGATTTTGTTTGAAGGGTTCTTTTGTATAATTCTTACATAATATATGACAAACCTAAGTTTTACAGGCTCTGACTTGCTTGAAAAGATCTTCTAAGATGACAGGAGTCAGGTTTGAATGATGAACTAAAATCCTAGTTTGTATAACGACAGTATTTAGATTGTTTTGCTTCATTGAGTCCTGTTCCTTCTTGATTGCTGTCTTTATGCATGTGTCTTTATGTCTTTTCTTCCTCATCCCACTTGTTTCTTTCCTAATACAATTTCTATAATTTCCCACTGGCCATGATCCTTCTCCTAGGCTTGGGGTGAATACCTAAGGAGAATACCTAAGGAGACCTTAGGAATACATTTCGCACACACACCTCATTTCACTTTATTTCTTACCTCTTCTATCTATCTGAAGAATTTGCATTTACTTTTTCTCAAGTTAAAATACACAGTCTTATTTAAGTTGCAATTGTGGCAAACATACAGTCTTATAATTTTATCAAACACATGAGAAAATATAGAGACATATGCATATAGTTTTGGGAACTGGGAATTAAAACAAGGGGCACTTTACCACTGAGCCCTTTATATTTTCTTTGAGATATGGTCTCATTAAATTAGTGAGACTGGCCTTGAACTTGCCATCCTCCTGCCTCAGCCTCTTGAGTGGCTAGTATTACAGATGTGCATCACAGTACCTGACATGAAAAAAATATATATATATATATATTTATATTTATATTTATTTATTCACCAAGAAAAAACTTTGAAATTAAATACTATTACTACAAGTGCCAGAGAACTGAAGGCCAGGACAGGACCTGAGGGAAGTACATGAGGTGCCTGGGTTGCAAAATTGAAAGAGGCCCTTTTGTGCACTTTTTGCAGGTGCAGGGAAAACACCTGTAATTGTGTCTCCTTAAATTTCACATAACTGGAGCTACTTTTGCCTCTTGCTGGCCCAGTGATGTTTCTCCTAGAATCAAAAGTTTGTTCAATCATTCCTAGACTCAGAGGGAGGTTGCTTTGTTACTCTGGCTCCTATAATAGGGCTTAACTGGTAGGTCTCTTGGAATTTGCTGAAGCATGATAAAAGTTTAAAATCAGACAATGTTCTGGTAAAGGCCAGGTGTTGGAAGTATAATAAACAGCTCCCTAAAGATTAGAAAATGAATATTTAACTAGATGACTACATTTGATTTCCTTCATTTATTTTTTATTATTTCAGTGAAAACCTTCTTGATGGAAATCACATCGACAGGGTTTTAATATCTTCAGGTAAATGAAAGCTGTCATTCTAATGGGGTTGGTATTTCTGTACAGGGCTGTTTAATAAATTCTGGAGACCACAAATTTTCTTAATAGTTAAGACTTAAAAAATTCTGTGTAGATTGTGTATCAAGAGAACAAAATTTGGGGCTGGGGATGTGGCTCAAGCGGTAGTGCGCTCGCCTGGCATGCATGCGGCCCAGGTTCGATTCTCAGCACCACATACAAACAAAGATGTTGTGTCTGCCGAAAACTAAAAAATAAATATTAAAAAATTAAAAAATTCTCTCTCTCTGTCTCTCACAAAACTAGTTATATTAATTAGGTTGTGTTTACAAAAAACCTGATAGTATTTTTTAAGAAAAGGAAAAATTAGTCTCATCTGTAGACACTTTAAGTGCTTAATTATTGTTATTTTCCTTTCAGAGGCAAAGGAAACCATCATGCCCATCAAAACAGAATTCCATGCAGAGTTTTAGGTCCCTTCTTGAAAAGTTAGGTCCAAGAATCAAGGTTCTCTAGAGCTGATAATTATTAAAAATTAACAGTACAGTTTCCTTGGAGACAGAGGCAAAAAATCTGCCTTTATGTTTCTATGGCATTTATCTTGTGATAATAGTTCCAGAAACTGATGCTGGTAGAAGGAGAAACATTTTAGAGCTTCAACATGAAATTTTGCTAAGTAGGTAGTTTCCATTTATCACAATGCACAGTTTTCATTTGATTGCCTGTTCAAACTTAAAGTCCCAAAGCAGTGTAGGACCCTTGTAAATTCTTTGTTTCTTTACACTCATGCATATTCCCAGATATTACCCTGCCACCTTTATTCTGGAGAATAAAGTCTGGAGAAGGCCCATTTGCAATTCTCCTGTTGCTTTTAACTTGTGCTGCCACCACCAACGGCAGTTTACTAGTGTGTTGTTCTGTGTTGTAAATTCTCCAGGATTCTCATGAAGGTTGGACCAAGAGAAAGACATGCTTTTCGGAGTACAAGGTGCCTTATTTTGCAGCCTGATGATACTTGCCCATTCCATTCCTTTGTACTGAATTGAATTATGTCCAAACCTAAGGCAAACAATGACTTCTGTTTCTCTCTCTGTAAAAGATGAAATGAAGTAAATGCATCTTCCCCACAGAGATACACATAAATAACTGTGTGACACTGGGGGGAAAAAGCAAAACTTACTCAAAGCAGAAGGTGACTTTTTTGAGTTTGCTTTTCTAAACCATTTGATCTAGACTTCCATATCATGCTTGTTAATGGATATAGTGACAAGCTCTGCATTTCCAAATCTACTCAATCCTCATGGAAGCAGAGACTGTGAGTGAAGAAAACCTGGCTCTATCAGGTTAATCTCGGATTTCCAAACTGGGTTTAGATCAAAAAAGAAACCCAAGGTTTCCCAGTGAATGGGGATCTTGTTTTATTCTCACAAAGCTTTTCCGTCACCCACTCCAGCATGATGCTTCTGAAATTCAGAAACCTGTCACTTCTGAGATAAACCACTAATCCACCTCTGTCCTTGGCATTCTCTGTGTTCTGTGGGCAGATCTTTTTGGTGTGGATATTTCCTATCACTTATGCCCAGCGCTACCTTTGTGTTATAAGCTGATAGCTTTACCCGGTGCTTTTCCTGTCTTCCAGATTCAGCGGAGACGTCCAGACGGCTCTGTGTGGTGTTTGGAGAGTTGCCCTCAGTTGAAGCGCTTCTGCAGGTAATCCCCAGAAATGACAGCATGTGCATCATAAACCTGGAGAGTCGCTACCCAATCAAAGCATCTTTGACTTCTTGTTAGAGTAAATATGCAAATCAACCGTAGCCTCCTCTGGTACTTATCTTGTCCTTAGGCAGGATTCTAACCTTTCTGGATGCTCACATTTATGGGGGAAAAAAAAAGAATGTATTCATCCAAAAACAAACAGCAACTCCTTCCTTCTTCTGGTTTAGGTTAGTTACTTGGATCTGTTAGTGCACTGTCATTTTAAAACTAATCATGACTTTCCTTAGTCTCCAATTTCATGTCTAAGCCAGGAGCCGCTTGCTGATAAAGCTGGTATCTCATTCTCATATTCATTTTATAACCCCCCACCCTATGCCTGACATGGACTTGCTTGAGGAAAGTTGTTTGATTGAATGAATCGTAGCAGAAAAACAAAGAAAATTTATATTGCTATTCATAAATAGACCTGGTGTAAAATCTACCACCTATGACTCCATCAAGTTTCTCATTTACATGTTCACATTTGCTACCAGGGTAGTCTTTTTCTTTGAATTTCACTGTAAGCAATCATCCTGGCTTGGGCATTGGATTAATTGAGCACAAGGTGATATCTATCCCCTTTCCCTTTTTGTATACATTGTATACATTTTTGCACATTGTAATGGAAGAAAGGCCAATTTGAAGGGAAACCCTCTGTGTTCTAATGAGGTTGATTGTCTCAGAGCTGGTGGCTTTCACCCTGAGAGTTCTTCCTGGCACCCAGCATGTTTTAGCCTAAGTGTTAGCCAGTTGGTGAATGAGATTTTGGAGTAGTTCCAAGCCATAGTTAATTATGTGCTTCTTCAGAATTCAACTGTCTCTGCCATCATCACAGAGGCCTTTTCCTTGTTTAGTAAATTGTTTCTTTTTTTTTCTTTTAATTTCTTTTTTTTTTGCATATATCTAACCTTATTTACAGTTTTCCCTCCATAAAAGGAAACATGACACAGTACCAAGGCAAATTGCACACTGCATCAGTTTGTTCAGAATGCAATGAAATAACACATTACAACACTTAGAAAACTGTAAAGAATCCTACACTAAAAGGAATTCATCAATTTTTACTATCATTCCATTTCCTTTCTAGCAAACACTTGGAAATGTCTAATCTTTCAACCTGTGACATAAAATGTTTCTGTGTTTTTGTGGTGTCTTGATGGCCTTTTATCATTATTCTTTTCCATTTAACACAAAATAGATTGCTGTGTGGATGTGTGTTTTCTACAGATTTACAGTCTTAATGTGTGTGGGTTTTCTTTCTTTTTTTTTTTTTAATTGTTTTGTTTTAGTTTTCTTTGGTTTTCCAGTTCTACCTTTTCATTTTGCCTTTGTGCATTGGTGCCTACAGAGAATAAACTTTATGATAATTCTGATACTTCAACTTTAAAAATGACAAGTCTGTGGGATTTGCTGGGCAGCAGCGGATGGACAGGAAAAAAGAACAAGCTGAAGAAAAATTAAATAATTCCCAAGGAGCGTTTTACTTACTGAAATATAATCCCAAAGAAATCACTCTTGTGTAAAAGATTTGCAGTAACTTATGGTGTTAGATGCATATGAGCTATGGTTTGAGAACGTGAGAAATAGAAGGGTTGCAGGTATCGGCTGCTGTGTTTGAAGACAGTTCATGAGTGAGTTCAGAAATGGAGCCCTCTGTTGAATAGATACTTCGGCTGCCTCAGGATTATTGATCTAATGGAGACAAAGAGGAAAGCACTCTGATGGGTATGCTAAGCAGCACTCCCTTCCTGGAGAAGGGAGGCTCATGCTTCCTGAGTTTTCACTGCAATCTTGAAGCCCACCTAGGAAGACAGAAGTTTTGAATTATTAAAGGAACCAGGTTTTCTAGCCTTGAAGCAGAATTTTCAATATTCTGCAAATTTTACAACAACTTATTTAGAAATACATGTTTTTTTTTCCCTCCTGTTTTGAAACAGAATGAAAGATGATTCATTCAGGAGTGAATAAAAGTTAGCCGGGACCCTAGTTCCATGGACTGTGCTAAGGTGTGGCATGAGTTTGAGACAAGTCTTAAGAGTGGCTGTCAGCATTGAAACGGCTGGTGGTGTTTGATATTTTGTCAATAACAAAGGAATCTGTGGAGAAAATTAATTTTGTTGTTAATATTTTAAAGCTTTTAGTCAAGATAGGCTGCTACAATGGTATTTAAGTTTTTGATCCATACCTTAAGCCTTTTAACTTAAAGCATCCTATTTTCTTTTTGTGACACACATTGAGTCTCTTTTAGGTGTAAGAATAAAGCATAGGCTATAGCAATGAGGAAGATGTGTCACACTTTTGTAGTAGATACTCTAGCTAGTAGCTGAAAGTATGGGTTTTAGAACTATACAGGCCTGAGATGAATCCTGACTTTACTATTTTTCTCCTTGTACAAACTTGGCAAGCTGTACAACATCTTCAAATTATAGTCTCTCAACCTGTAAAATGGGAATAAAAATAGAACCCATATGGTGACTTTGCTATAAAGATTAAATCAGAAAATGTGGAAAACACATTGCAGTGTCTGAAATACAATATATACTCCAAATATGTCACATATGTATGTGGTTCTAGTACTCTATGGAGGAGCAGTAACAAAGTTGGAATCGAATATTGTGCAGCCTTACCTAGTTAGTAAGAGGTATCCTAAGTAGAATCTTTTATTTCTTTGCTTTCAGGGTCTGCAAATATATTTTGATCCCACTTTTCTTTGGGTTGGAAGTCAGGCAGGCCTGGCTGCAAATAAATTTCAAGAAATATAGAGGTGGAAAGATCTTCTTTCTATGTTATCTGAAGCCCTCATTAGTGCCCGCTGATGAGAAATCTTACATCCGAAGACAAAGATAGTGCCAGCTCAGAAGAGAAATAGGATAGGTCAAAAGGCCAAGGTTAAAACCCAGGGATCCAGGTCAAATCATAACCATGAATAATCCAATGATGAGCATCAAGGAGAAGGCACTCCTTCATGGAGAAGAGAAATGAGTACAAAATGTCACACCTGGAATAAATTAGAGCCGTGGTCTCCTTGACATCAGTCCGAATATCATTAGAAGGGCTTCCTTTGGCACTTAAGAAGAAATTATTCGGAGGCAGAAAGATTTTTGATGACAATAATAGAAAAACCCCAAACAGTATGATCACATAATGTTAAAATAGTTGTCTGAACCTGGGTGCAGTATCACAGGCTCTGTAATTCTAGTGAC